AACAAAAAAAAAAACAAAACATATTCCAGCATGATCTCAGTCCCCTAATCTGTAAAATGGGAAAAACAATAGCATCTACACCATAGGTTTGTTATGAGAGTTAAATGAGCTAATACTGCCAAGTGCTTAAAAGACTGCCTGACCCATAGTACAAGACTTGCAAGTATTTGCTAAGTAAGAAGTTAAAAAAAAGATCTGAAGTACAAGGCATGTGAAACAGAATGGACAGGTGAGCAGGGGCCAGCTTCTGAAGAACCCGCTCCACGGGGCTCTAGGCCGTGGCCACACAGGCTCCCAACCAGCTCCTGGGGCTTGTGGCAGCGAACAGGCAGAAGGACCCATGGGGTGGGAGAGGCACCCCCCTCTTCGGTCATCCATGGCCACTGCAGAAATCTTGGAAAGTATTAGTAGCACATGGAAGAATCAAATGATCCCGAGTCTCCTGCCCTGAAAAAAATCCCTGTCAACATCATGGAGCTTATCTAGACATTGCTCTCTGGAGCATTTATCACCTGCCAACTTGCTGGGAGTAGCAGGCTGCAGGCTGCTTCCAAAACACCCATCTCCACTCGCCACCTGCCACAGTTACTAAAAGCAGATGTCACATGTGGATCAATTGACACAGAAAGGTTTGGGGTAATTCTGATTCTGGGTTGACTTATGTACCCTAAATTCATGCTTTGTGACATATTATCTAATGAGCTACTATTTGGACTTTCTTACTCAAATACTGTCCTATAAAATGAACAAAAGTTTAAATTGTGCATTCATTATTTTATCTGTTCTCCCAGCAAACAGTGACAGGATTATCAACCAGGCACCAAGCAATGTGCTGTGTGCTGGAGCTTCTAAATGTGTGTGTGTGGCGGGGGGAAGGTCTGGACGAGAGGATTTCACAATAATATGGTAGGAAAAGGGGAGAAGGGGATGATGATTCATAATCTAGTAATGATAAAGCAGTGTGTTTTCATGGTATGGCATGGAGTAGGGCAGTGGTGGGGCAGGAGAAGTTGGGAGTTTCAGGGAGGAAGTGATACTTTGATTTTGGTTTTTTAAAAGATAAGTAGGAGTTTTCCTATAGAGAAAGCAAAGAGGGTTCCAGGCTACAAAAACAAAAAGAGCACTGAGTATTTAGAGAAATGAAAGAAATCCACTGTGGTGGAAATGCAGGGTGGCCTGGGAGAAGTGTAAGAAATAACCCCAAAAATGTTTGATGCCAAATTAGGAAGATGTTTCTATGTCAGACTTAGGAGTTTGGATTTAACCTGAGAGGTTTTGAGGGGGAATAAGAAGTACTATATACTGAGGCATAATTTTGGAGATTAGTACCAATGGCAGTGTGAAGGGTGAGTGGAGTGAGGGAAGCTAGCTAGGAGATTGCTGTAATATTTCTGGTGAGAGAAATGCAGTTCTGAACCAAGTATGGCAGCAAGTAGCAGGGGCAGCGGGGAGCAGAGACACCAGGGAACCTGAGGGGCCAAGGCCACAAAACTTTAGGGCAACTCAGATATGGGGATGGAAGAGGAGAGGGAGCCGGGCAGGCTCAGCGATTTCTGAGTTTGAGTGACTGGCAGACACTGACACCATAAACTAGGAGAGAGAACACCAAAAGACAATGCGGAGGGGGTCTGACTGACTGTGGAACAACCAGCCGGGAGGGAGCTGAAAAGCGAGGTGAAAGAACTCAGAAATGCTTAGCACCTTCTTTATAGACAGAGACTTCTTTTCACAACACACACACAGTGTGGCCTCGCTCTAGTCTCATCTCAAGGTAACCCTGGGAGGTTAGGCCGAGCTAAGGAAGAAAGGTTCAGAAATAGTAAGGGTTTTACCATGGGGAGCCCAGAGTTAATGAGAGTCAAGTGCTCTTTGCACATCTAAGCCATGCACCTCCTCCACAGCCCACTTACTGCTGGGCTTTCAAAGCCATCCCAGAGGGGCCCTCTGGAGCTCTGGAGAATGCTTTCTGAGCAGTTACCACAGTTGGCCCTGAGAAGGAACATGGTTTTTTTCTTCATTTAGATTACTCTGCAGAATTATTTGAATAACAAAATTAATTCATGATTACTGCGCTACAATAAATATTACTGCGAACATTGTGGCCCAGGAGCAAATATCCGAGCTCATTGTTTTTTATGTAACTTTCTCTCCCAGTCTACTGTCTTTGCCCTCTTTGCCCTCTTTGCCCTGCCAATGAGAGGTGAGAGCTAAGAAGGCTTCTTGACACTTAGTTACTATTAATTCAACAGTGTGCTCCGCTGGTAGTATACTTTGCAAAGATAAGCAATGACCACTTTACAAACAGCCTAACTGAGAAAACTAAATATAGAGATAAAATATAACTTGCTTAAAACTACATACCTACTGAATGGTTGAACTGGAGTTAGATGTAAGGGATCCTATCAGCCTAGACCATCTTACAAGGAATACTGGTTTCCTTTAATTTCTTCCAGAATACTCGGTATTTTAATACTACCGATATCTACTTATGTATTTACTTTTTGGTACCGGGGATCAAACTCAGGCCCTTGCACTTGTGAGGCAGGCAGCAGAGCCACTAAGCTAAATCCCCAGCCCTAATACTACCAATATCATTCCTAAATTAAATAAATTTAATTTCAAAAAAATCTACAAAAATTCAGGAAGGGACAGGAATGATAACTATTATCAATAAACCTATTGAAGTATTTTCATTCAGGTGATTACTGAAAAGGAACTTACACCACTGCTTCTACCAGCCACATCTTCAAAACTAAAATAGAGCCTTCAAGCCAGGCATGGCAGCACATGACTATAATCCCAGCACTTGGGAGACTGAGGCAGGAGGATCGCTGCGAGTTCAAAACCAGCCTGGGCTACATTGCTAGTTCCAGGTCAGTCTCAATTACACAATGAGACCCTATCTCAAAAAACCAAAAAAAAAATAAATAAATAAATAAATAAATAAACAAACAAACAAATAAATAAATCCTTCATAATGCTTAGAGGCTTCTCAGGTTAACAAACACTGCCACTGAAAACCATTGCTGCACAGAAAAATTGGACTCCAGTCTACTTCTTGGAAAGAACTAAAAGATGGCCTTGCAGAGATTATGTACTAGGCATGACAGTGATTTTTTTTTTTATGATGATGATGGACTAATGCTTAGGGGCTGGAATGGTGGCTCCATCACTGCAGAAGTGCAGTATGGTGGAATCACAAGGGCTTCATCTCAGCCTCCCCTAAGTATGCAGTGCATGTGCTTATTATCACTTTTCACAGGATATATTTGAAACTAAGTTAAACTTTGTTTCTAAAGAATTTAAGGACATGGGAGTTTTCAAAGCTAGTTTTTACTTAAATGAGATTTTCCTTCTAATTTTAATCTTCAGTGTTATCTGCCATTAAATGGTATTTTGTCACCAAGCTTTTGGAATTTTTTTCATAAGTAAAATGATACACATTTTTTTTTAAATCTACAAAAAGCCAAGTGTGGTGGCACACACTAGTAATCCCAACATTGGGAGGCTAAGGCAGGAGGATCACAAGTTGAAGCCCAGCCAGAGCAATTTAGCGATTTAACGAGACACACTGCCTCAAAACAGAAAATAAAAGTCTGAAAATGTAACTCAGGACAAAGGCCCTAGGTTCAAACCTCAATACTGGAAAAAAAAACAACTGTATGCAAGTTGAAGGGAGAGTAGGGGAATGGGGACAAAAATAAGAACCAAGATAAATTACATAAAAGTACAAATTTCCAATGATGAATGTCATTACATTGTATACCTAAAATTTACCAATATAATTAATTTTTTTAAATTGTATACACACCAGCCGGGGATTTAGCTCAGTGGTTCTGCCACCTGCCTTGTAAGCACAAGGACCCCAGTTCGATCCCCAGTACCAAAAAAAAGTAAAAATTGTATACAAATAGTCAGCTGGAAATGATTTTACACAAAGCCAGTCACGTAGACACCTTCATGTCTTCTTCTCTCCTGAGTTCCCACTATGCATGACAGCTAACCAGAACTTTGCTCTAATATCCGAACTGATTCCTCGATTTTTCCCATGTCACAACTTTATTCCTGCTGTGGCTACTTCCAGGGTCCTGCCTGGATGGATCACCTCTGCCCCGCAGCAGACCCTCAGGCAGACAGAGAGAGTTTTGACAACGAGCACTTCCGGATTCCAGCATCTGCTTTGCCACTTAGAAGCCATATGGCCCAGGACAATCAGTGCCTTTTCTCTGTGTCTCAGTTCCTCTCTGTACAGAAAGAGCACAGTGCTGTTCCCTTTGCCAAGCTTGTTGTGGCATTGCAGATGATGTACACAGGTGCTGGACAGTGTCCGGTGCTTGGGACTTCACAATGGTTCATTCTACGTGCGAACTTGACTGGGCCAAAGGACACCTGCATGCTGATAAAACATTTCTAGGTGTCCGTGTTTCTAGAAGGGCTTAGCATTGCAATCAGGAGAAGTAAAGAAGATCTCTAAACTCATTGAGGATCCACACAAAACAGAGTCAAAGGCTCTCTGTTCATGAGCTGGGACAGCCATCTAGTTCTGTCCTTGGATGTCAGAGCTCCTGGCTGTCAGGCCTTCGGGGCTTACACCAGCAAGCTTGCCTCACCCTCATCTCTCAGTCTCCCAGCCACAGACTCCAGGGGCTTCTATTGTTCTCAGGCCTTGGGATCGGACTGAATGACGCCCTAGGGTTTCCCGGGTCTCCAGATTTTAGGCAGCAGACTGTGGGAGTTCTCAATCTCTATCATCACATAAGCCCATCCCCCTAACAAATCTCATCTATGTACACAGGAACATATACATACATACATACATGTACACACACACGTGTGTGTGTATGTGTCTTCCGTGACTCACTGCCATTATTTTCTCAATAGCCCCAGAAAGTTGTCAGGAAACTGAGTATCTGAGAAATTATGAGACTGACTCTAAATCATAAAATGCTAAGACAAAATTAAACTAAAAATGTCTCAAAAACACTAAAGCTCTGGGCTGAATCTGAGGAGCGCGGGTCTCAGCCCCGGGAATTGACTGGGCGTTTCCGTTGTCGGCATTTCGAGACAGGAGCCGTATACTAAAGATGATGTCAGGAAGCTTCTACTTTGTAATTGTTGGCCACCATGATAATCCAGTTTTTGAAACGGAATTTTTGCCAGCTGGGAAAACAGAATCCAAAGATGATCATCGTCATCTGAATCAATTCATAGCTCATGCTGCTCTTGACTTTGTGGATGAAAACATGTGGCTTTCAAACAACATGTACCTGAAAACTGTGGACAAGTTCAGTGAGTGGTTTGTGTCAGCATTTGTCAGTGCAGGCCATATGAGATTTATTATGCTTCATGATATAAGGCAAGAAGATGGAATAAAGAACTTCTCTACTGATGTCGATGATTTATATATAAAGTTTGCAATGAATCCATTTTATGAACCCAACTCTCCTATTCGGTCAAGTGCATTTGACAGAAAAGTTCAATTTCTTGGGAAGAAACATCTTTTAAGCTGAATGCAGAAAAATTTCAAAATAAACAATGTCACAATGGGATCTACTCAGGAATGTGTGCATTGTAACTTGATTAAATAGCCTAGAAAACTTAGACTTGTCTCGGTTTATCTAAATCAAATGGAATTTCTTTTATAATTTAAAAATGGTATATTCTGTTTCATGTTTGTTATCAACAGTATTTGCTTGTGAAGTGTTATTTATAAGAGCTCTTTATCGGGGCTGGGGATTTATCTCAGTGGTTCTGCTACCTGCCTCACAAGCACAAGGTCCAAGTTTGATCCCCGGTACCAAAAAAAAAGAGCTCTTTATCAATAATTTTGAAATGTTTGTATTTCAAAATTTGAGAAGCTTTTGACTTTCCTTATTCAGATAGTCTGACCTTGATGTAGGAATTCAAAAAACAAATGTCTAGTCAAGATTTGGTAAACAAATTTGAAACTAAAAGATTATGCAGAAGGGAATGAAATTGATAGCACATAGGATGACTTATTTGTGAGTATTTTAGAAATACTATAAACTTTTCTAACACAGCTCTACCTAAGAAGCTGAAGCAAAACGCTTTTGTGGTGTTAAATATTGTATGCCTGCCTCTGCAGAGACTGGGTATAGTGATCCTTTTTAATTTTAGAATCATGGACCCATATGTGTATGATGGACCACAGTTACAGACCATGGTGAAATGTGTTGCCTCTATCACTGTATGTTCTTGTATTTCAAGAAAGTAAACTGGGGCTTGAATAAACCAATTGATATCTGTACTTATAAAAAGTTGTAATACAGTTTAAGAACTGTTATTAAAGAAAAGCTTGGCTTACATCAGCATTTGCACTTGGCCTTTTAGGCTGTACATTAGAGGCAGCCAGAAGTAGTCTCTTCTGTACTGTACCAAGAGTGTGATTTTAATGTAAAATAGTTAATATCCATGGAAAAGCAAGTAATACTACCAGATATTTTCTGTCCTTATTAAAAGTGCTTGAAAAATTCTGTTCTGAATGATGTTTGAGCAAGTAATTCTAAGCTTGGTCCTGTATCTTTGCGTGAAGCTGCTGCCATCATTTTTAATTCTTATTTATTTGATTTCTTAAATAAAGGTGTCTGTCCAAAAAAAAAAAAAAAAAAAAAAACACTAAAGCTCCTACCTGTCTCTAGGTTTCTCAATTCAAATATTCATGAGTTACATAGCACTCACTACAAGCCAGCCATTGTGAGTCTTTTATGCACATAATCCCAATAAGCCTCACATCTTTATAACAGAAGAACTCCTGTCACCCCACTTTACAGATGAATATATCAAGACTTGGAGAATATACTTAACTTGCCCGAAGTCACACAATAATCCCAGACCTGAACTCTGCTTAATTCCAATTCTAAATAATTAAGTGCCACATATACTTAAGTATCTTGATACCACTTGACTACGTACAAATGTAAACTCAGTGGATACATTCATAGCTCTTATACAAAAATGAAAGCAAAGCAAGTTCACAGATAATATACAAAAACAAACTATGCAACAAATAAGATGAAACTGACACCATTACTGGGATGTGTGGGGCGTGTGCTGGGGTGGAATCCCTCTTCCTAAGCAGTGCTTTCAGCGTCCACATGCTGCAGGACCGTATGCAGTGTGACACTCTCCCGTGCCCATTCTCTCTATCCCAACCCTGGCGAGCCTCTGTACATACACGGCTTCCTACCATCAGGCCCACTAGCACCACTACAGAGTTTCTAATTCAGCCAGCCACCACTCTCTGAACAGGCCACCACAGTTAGATCAGACCACAAACACGAGCCTGAAGATACCCTGCTGCATTTAGTGACATGAGACCATTCGGAGAAGCAGGAAAAAAAAATAAAAGTATATATGTGTGTGTAAATATAACATTGAGAGGGGATAAAATATTCTCATAAGATGATATAAAGTACTGTCATAAGTGTCTTAAATAGCTGCCTTCAATGAAGAAGGCAAAATTTTAAGTTTGTAGAAATTGTGGTCTTATCCCATTCAAACACCAAAACATGTGACCTACATCCATTACATTCCTTCATGACAATTTTTATTTATGAACTAGCTTTGGTCCTGCATTCAACCACATGTATCAAATATTGATTCCAAGTTTTTCTGGCATCTGCAAGATTTAGACACCAAAGTGTACTGTGACAGAGACAAAAACATAAAAGTACCCTGACCTTTAAAAATTTACAACCAAATGCAGGAAAATAAATGGAAGTGGAGACCATTATACTAAGTGAAATAAGTCAGACTCAGAAAGTCAAACATTGCATGTTTTCTTTTATATGAGATAGCTAAAATATAAATAAGTAAATGAATACAGTAAAGGAGCACTGATAGGAAAATAAAAGGTAGACACTTGAACATAGGAAAGAGGATCAGGGAGGAAAGAGAAAAAGGGAGAGGTCAGAGGGAATGATAATGAGTAAGATACGTTATAGTCATGTACCATTCCCCCGAACGGTCATCACTATTCTGTAATACAAACATGCACTAATAAAGCAAAAGAAAGAAAAATAATTAAAACTAGTAAAACTAACAAGAGTGATCAAGAAAAAAAATAGGTAATTACTAAATGTTCAATATCAGGTATGAAAAGAGGACATCATTACTAACCCTGAACAAACACTGAAAGTTTACTAAAAGAATATTCTCAAGAATTTTATCCCGATTTTTGTGTGTATGTGTGTGGGGCTGAGGATTGCACTCAGATGTGCTCTACCACTGAGCTACACCCTCCAACCCTTTGTGTTATTTTGAGACAGTGTCTCACTTGAGTTTCCTGGGCTGGCCTCAAATTTCAAATCTTCCTGCCTCAATCTACTGTGGCTGGGTTTATAGGGATGTGCCATTGTACCCAGCTGTGCCAAAATTTTTGAAATCCTATATGAAATGGGCAAATTTCTTAAAAGACACAAATTACCAGAACTGACTCAAGAAGAAATAGATATATTAAATAGCACTGTATCAACTGAAGAAACTGAACCCATAATTTAAGACTTTCCTACAAAGAAACTCCCAGGCCGAGGAAAGGACACAGTGGTGCATCCCCGTAATCCCAGCTACTCAGGGCCAGATTACTGGAGCCAGAAGATCACAAGTTCCAGGTCAACTTGGGCATTTGGTGAGGAAGGAAGATTCTCATTTTTTAAAAGTACAACCAGGCCAGGCATGTTGCTACATGCCTGTAATCCCAGCACTCTGGAGGCTAAGGCAGGAGGATGGCCTCAAATTCAAGGCCAGCCTGAACTATAAAGTGAGACCCTGACTCCAAAAAAAAAAAAGAAAGAAAGAAAGAAAGAAAAGTACAACTAACTAACACTTGCTAAGGTTAAGGAATATTATTTACAACAAAAGTTCAAACAGGCCAATAATAAAAGGGTAAGGACTTCCAGTCAACTCTTCAACAGAAAAGAAAAGAAAATGAACATTCTACTAAAAACATGAAATGGGCCAAAAAAGGTTATTCAATTTGTAAAAGTATCTCTTTTCTTCTTCTACTAGAACAGAATTCAAAGACTGAGTCTCAAGTACAGCAGGACACATTAATCAGAGAAAACCAGGAAAACCTTAAGAGGGCTTTCTGGGTGTGGCGGGGGTTGCTTGTTGGTACACATTGGGAATTTTGATAAAACTTTCTAGGGTCACAAAAAGTAGAAGTAAAATTTAAAGGCATTTCTTATTTAATGATTAAATTGCTTTCTCTCCACCAAGGAAAAAAATTCTACTGAAAACAAAGCTAAAACAAAAAACATGGCAATCCCCATATATTTTTTTCTTCTCCTAATTATTTCACAATATCAACTTAAGTGGGTTTATATTTTATAATATGATTGACATTGGAAAAAGAAACTAGTAGTTATAGACACAAACATGGGTTAAATAAGATTATGGTTTTTAGAGTAATATAATGAATAAAAATAGGATGTTGAAAAAAATCTCTATAAATGACAAGAAACCTAAAGGCAAAAATCGCACTTCCAAAATTAGAGAACAATCTTCATATAGGATTGGCTGATGTAGGCAGTTGTCATTCCTGGAGATAACAAGGCTTCAGAGACCAAATAACAATGTTGAAGAACTTCTCAGCGGGGAGGGGGTGGCTCTTGGATGCTCTCTGCCAGTCACTTTCCTCTGTTTTTAGCAGCAGAAGAGAAAGCCCCTTCAGCATAGGTTTCAGTTCTTGGGTTTCTACAATCAATGCTGACGGGGAGCACTTTGCTTCTGTACTAAGGGTGTGTCTGTCTGTCTGTCTGTTTGTGTCTGTAACTATGTATGTGTGTGTACATTTCATGTGTTCAGCGCTTCTTGGTTTTTTTCCCCCTAAATGATGTTTTATGCCTGTACAACAGAGCAAGACAGAAAATACAACTTCAGAGATGGCTAGAGCCAAGGGGATCCAAATACACAATGCCCAAACCTGTGGCTTTTGTATGTGAAGTGAAGCCTACAAAGCAGGCACACAGCCCCCCACCCATGTCCCACCATCCTGCCACGGACAATGAGTTGAAGAGATAATCCAGGTAAATGACATCCCTGGCAGTGGCAGCCCTACCGTGTTCCCCACAGCTCTATCCAGGCTTGGTTTCTGGAGAGGCACAAAGCTGGGAGGCTCATTGTCTGCTGGAGCGTTTACCTCCACCCTGCGTTTACCTGGCAAAATCCACCCCAAAAAAAAACCCTCTCTCTGCTGATCTGACATCAGTGGAAGGCATAGGGGCATCTAGAGAAGTATAGTTAGAAGCAGAAATCATTTAAAAATGAACTGAGCTTTGCTAGGGCACGGTATAAACAGTGCATTATTAATCTGCTTTTCACATAAGCCACTAATGCACCCCTGTGCTTCTCTAGTCCTCTCCAGTCACAGAGGTTACACTGCTGCTTGGTTTTTAAATGCCTTTGAAAGACTAGGCTGCAAATAACAGCAGCTTCCCCATATTGTCCCTGCCTGTACGAAGGCAATATCCTTCCCTGTATTTTGTCCTATGAACATAATCTGCCATACTGGGAAAGTTTCCA